AAGGCAAGTTTTGTTTGATAAGGTGGATGTTAGAATATTATAAATAAACTAGCTCTATCAATAAATTGGATTGATTGATCAAGAACCTGTACTTTTTGATACATCAATGTGTGAAAATATTTTATTTCAAAAAATAAATTCTATGAGGGCTAAAGTAGAAGCAGCAACGGCTGTTGCAAATGCTCATAATCTTATTACCTCACTCCCTATTAGTGATCACACTCAAGTTGGTATCTAAAATGTTATTATTACTTAGTTTGAAAATTCAACCTTGTCTATAGTATAAATCAATTCCATGTTATAAACAATAGGTAGGAGAGTAAGGAGACAATTTATCCCAAAATTAGAAATTAAAAATTTCCATTGCAAGGATCTTACTATAAAATTCTAAAACTTTAATTATTGATGAAATGACTAGTGCTCTTAATCCTAATTTTGAAAGCATAGTCCAAGAAGCACCATATCAAGTAGTTGGTGGTAGAACAAGTATACTTGTTTTGCACGAGCCCTTGCTCCTTAAAAAAGTAGATAAAATTGTGCTCCTAAAGAAACAAAAAGTACATGATATTGGAATTTATGAAGACTTGTATAACAAGAATTTGATATTTTGGTTTCAAGAAATAGTTGGGTATAAGACTTGCCCAACCCATCAAGTAACCACACGTTATCATTACATGTCGTAATAAGAAATAAAAGTTCTCCAAGAGAAATCCTCTTCCTCCTTCGTTTATTAAAGTTAAATGCCAAATAATAGCTTTATTTAATAATCAGAGCACTATGATGTTCACTTTCAGGGACAGGTAGTCTGATTTATTCGATTGCTTTGTGCCATTTTATATTGATGGTTCAATATGACGACAAAAAACAAAATATTAAAGGCCACCAACGTAAAGCTACCAACATAAAGCCTTTGATATTTTGTTCTTATCGTCATATGAAACCACCAATGTGAAATTGCACAGAACTATCAAATAAATCACACTACAAGCCCCCAAAAGTGAACATTATAATGCTCTGATTATTAAATAAAGCCATTCTTTGGCATTTAACTTGAATAAACCAAGGAGAAAGAGATATTCCCTTGGAAAACTTTTATTGTTTGTTTCAACACATGTGATGGTAATGTGCGGCCACTTGATGGGTTGAACAAGTCTATATACCCAACCATTCCTTAGAACCAAAATAACAAATCCTTGTTGTACAAGTCTTCATAAGTTCTAGTATCATGTACTCTTCCTTTCTTTAAGAGAGCAATTTTATCCACTTTTTTAAGGAGCAAGGCTCATGCAAAACAAGCATACTGTTTCTACTAGCAACTGCTCAATCTAGTGCTTCTTGGACTATGCTTTCAAAATCAACATCAAGAGCACTAGTCATTTCATCAATAATTAGAATGTTGGGGTTTTGTAGTAAGACCCTCTCAATGGAAATCTTCAATTTCTATTTCCTAGATAAACGGCATCCTTGCTCTCCTACCTATTATGTATAATATGGAATTAATTTATAGTATAGGCAAGCATTAAATTCTCAAACTAAGTAAAACTAATAGTTTAGATACCAACCTATGTGCAATTACCATTAGGGAGAGAGTCAATAAAATTGTGAGCATTTATAACAGCCGTCATTGCTTCAACTTCAGCCTATGTAGAATTTATTTTGCCAAATAAAATATTTTCATCTATTGATGTATTAAAAAATATAGGTTCTTAATCAATCAATCCAATTTGATAACAAAGCCAGTTCATTTGAAATGTTCTAACATCCACTTTATCAAACAAAACTTTTCTTGCATGCCCATTTAAAGAAATATGTCAGCAGTGATTCATTCAAGAGCAAAACTTGACATCTTTTAGCAATGAAAGCATGTAAGATTACCTTTATTTGGATTATTAAACTTTTGTATTAGGAAAACAACCATACTTTTTCTAGATCTACTACACCTAACAAGCTTTAGTTTTTCCTGTGGGAAAAATGATTGAATAATTATCAAGGACCAACACATCATACCTCAATGGATATTGAAAACTTACACCTTTAATTTTGATATTGCCATCAATCTCTGACAAGAAAATTGCCAATCTTCCACCACAATGGGTTCTTACTCAATTATTTTTATCAATTCTTCTAAAATTCTTTGTCTTTGTAAAGGCCACAGTGAAAATGATGACCGAATTTTTCTATATCAAGTAATATTTTTACGTCGTCATCATCATCATCCTTAACTTTTGGCTACAATCATCATTGTTATTATTAAATAAAGACTTCCTAGAAAATCTCTAAGGTTATAAATTACCAAACTTGTCATATGGGGGTCTTACGTTATAACATTATAATAGGAGCGACACTGAGAATAAATATATATGTCCTTGCTCCGTTAGTTTTTCCATTTTATAAATTACCTTAAATACTTCTCAGTTATCTTATCCACACCCCTAGTGTTTTTGCTAAACCCATTGTAATAGCCAAAAGAAAGAGAAAGGCAAAACGCATAGATTATGCTTTGAAAAACTAATCTTAGACTTTGAATGTCACCATAGAAACTCCAAGTTTTAGCAGTGACTTAAAAGTTGACAATCAACGGTGACCTGTAGAAAGTAAGTCTTTCAGTGATGACTTTTTAGAGTTGCCGCTAAAGGTTTGATTTTGTATTATCATCATAGTTTTTTTATTTTTTGGTTTAATTTAATATTTAAAATTTTAAGACAATAATTTTGTTGTATTATTGTAATTTTATAATGAATATATAAAATAACATAATGAGTTTTCATTTTATATATTTTATGATTATATTTTAAATTTAAAATAATGAAATTAAGAGAAGGTTAAGATATTATTTAATGATAATGAGCCAGAGTAAATAATTAAGGTAAATCATATTATTTTATGTTAATTTTTGTTATCAGGTAATGTTTAGTTTAATTCAATCGAACTATTTAGGCTAGTTTGATATTTTAATTTGGAATGCATATAATATGGTAATGAGTCTCTATCTTTAGATGTTTTATGATTAAATTAATATTTTTAACAATAATACTGCTTGTTTATAATAATTAGACATGTGATAGTTAAATTTATTCAGTCATAGAATGATATTTCATTTAATCTAATTTTTTAATTCAAATTTTATATTTAATACCAGTAACTTTAAAGCTTGATGCTAGTTTAGATGTTCTCAATTTGATGCCTAATGATAGGAGATAGAAAGATGAAAAGAAGAAAAATAAAAAATTTTAAAATTTTACTTTTAACTTTTACAATATATGAAATATATCTATGTATGTGATACTATATGATTTTTTTTTATGCTATCTTGTGATATAAATATAATAAAAAGTCAAAGCAGCACATCAAGGTCAAAGATAAAGAAAAAAAACAAAAGGAGAGGTAAAAGAAAAACTAACTAATCTTGTATATCTTAGAGTACGTTTGGATTTCAATTGGGTAAAATTGATTATGAAAAATTGATTGATATAATTAATTTTGATTATAATCAATTATATGTGATTGTGTTTGTGTTATTTTCTGAAATTAATTTTAATACAATTAAATATATTTTGATGATGATGATCTAATCAAAATCAATTTTAGATGTACAAATTATTATAAAGGAAATTGCTTTTGAAAATATAAATATTAGACATTGCTTTTGAAAATATAAATATTGATAAATTTTTATATAATATGATTAATTATTAAATATTAAATTTGATGAAATTTATTTAAAAAATAAAATAAATTTCAGTATATCACATAAAATAAATAGTTAGGATCAATGCTGATTTGAATGGTAAAAAGAATCAGAAAAAAAAAACCATAGGATAGAAATTAGGCTACTGAATAAGTTAACATATCCATCCAAAACTAAATGAAATTATGCAATTCCTTGAAAAAAAAATATTATTGGAATTATTATCAAAATTCTCCTACTCCTAAATTCAGCAATTTTATGGCTTAATTTTCTCAGAAAAGCAACTGAAAACTGCAGTTGTGAGAAAGAAGCATAGGGATTAATTGATAGATCGTTTAGAGCATGTTTGGATAAATTGCCATAGCTTAAACTCGTTTAGACCTAATAATTAGTCCAAATACCTCCTACAACAAAACAAACGTATAAGTAAAGTTAAAATAAACAAAAGAGAAAATAAATTAAGAAAAAAAATAATAATAAGGTGAAAACATTTATTTATTTACAAAGACAAACTTGACCAAAAGTTTATATCCGTGGCCTACATGTCCTGTGATAAGATTAGAGTTTATTTATTTCAGGATAATATTTAGGTTTCTCTCATGACTTGATCTTTCAAACTTAAAACTTTAATTATTTTAAAATCTACCTTTTATCAAAAAAAAAAATCCATACATTATTTCCATTAGAAGTAATCTACACGTTGGACCACACTGATATGAACCCACTAGACACATGCAAAGTCTTATTGACTCTGACAAATATACGTGTTATCATAAATGCTTGTGGAAGTGTGTAAACTGTAAACCTCTCACTCAAAGCAATTACATAACAGAAAATTCCCATCTCTATTTCCCCAAACATCCAAATTGCAGAAAAAGAAAAAGCTATGCAAAGTTATATTTGTATTAGTTTCATATAAAATATAACTCAAACAACATATAATAAACCATGTAAATATATGACAAAACCATGCATAACTCAAATGAAAAAAAAATATATATATATATATATAATACATGACAGAACAGAGAAAATATAACTCATAAAATAAAACAGCAGATATATAACAGAAAAATGGAAATAAACCTAGAAATGACATACTGAAATATTTAAAACGAGATTTCCAGATTCAACAATGGACTGGAAATAAACATAATGCCAATATATACAGTACAAGTGCATGAATGTGCAGATCAATAAAATCATCAAGTATACTCAGTTGCACGAAATATTCAGAAGCTAATAATAAAATCTGGAACTATAACAAAAAAATCTAAGTAATATCACAGTCTGCATTTTTTTTCCGCAGAACCAAAAAATTTGAACAGGTAATGTGTGAGGCTGCGAGCTGCAAGCAGAGAAGAGACCAGGAGGAGAGAGAGAAGTCTGAGAACAAGAAGCGAGAACTAAGAAGGAGACGGGCTGAGAACAGAAGTGAGAGCTAAGACAACCTAACGGTAGATCTGGATCTGAAATGACAACATGGAGAAGCCGAGATCGTGAGAAGGGATAGAGATAAGATCGCGACGATTAAGAGATTTGTTAGTGAAACAGAGAGAAGAGATGAAAAGTACAAGAGGAATATTATCTTATTGAAAAGTATTGAGCATACATCATTATATAGAAGTGTGAAGGACGCACCTTTCAGTGCTCTCACAGGGGTCGAGTAGTGAAGAACGCACAAGCAGTCAAGCGCTATGGTCGGTGAGTGCGAGATTGAGCTGAGATTAAGCGACTGAGAGTCGAGAACCCGAGATTTCGACTGGGACTGTGAGAGACTCTCATCAGTCTTCACCGAAGGAGTCAGATTCGGATTTGTTGGTTGTGGCGGTCTGGCGGAGACTGAGACTCGAGAACGCGACAGAACAGAGATGAGAGAACGCGAGCGAGCACGCCGCGGAGAGCTGGAGACAATGAGAGAGTTTGAGACTCTGAGAAAATGGATGAATGAGGGTTAGGGTTTCAACTACTACTTATCAGATTGTATTTTTTTTATTTAAGTATAAAATAAAAATAAACTAAATATAATTTATAAATTAATAAATTATATATTTATATATATAATAATTTAGTCGGTTTAATCTATTCAATTTTAAATTTTTCTAATCAAATCAAACCGATCAATCGAAATATTTTTTAAAAAAAATAGACTGAATTAAATAATAAAAGTTTGATTTAATTTTTAATTTTAATTCGGTTTTGCTCACCGCTACTAATTTCTATGAAAAAAGTCTTCATTTTAGGATTTGAGTCAATCCTTCTCTACATGTTCTCGTCAATCGTTCAGCAAAGTATGTTTCTTCTTTTCCTGTGATGTTCGACTCTTCCATTTCCGATGACAAGCTTTCATCATTTTTTTCAATATTTATCAGTAAGTTGTTTCTCCTTTAATACATAAAAAATATTTCTCCTCTCTCTTCTTCTCCTTCTCATCAAAGCTTCGTCTTTTCTTCTCTTCATCGGAAAAAAATCTCAAAATTTTTTAAGAACAGTCCAATAATGGTTTTCCACCCTATTCCCAGCTCAATATTGTCCAATCTGGTTCAATCACAGGAACAGTTTTTTGAAGAGAACCAGATTCGTTGCCGTGGCTGGTCAAGAATTTGACCATTCGAACCATCTAGTCTGATCTAGTTTTCAAAGCACTACTTATTGCTGATTATTGATTTTATTTTTAAATTTATAAACAGAAAAGTGTCCATTTTAATTTTTAAGCTGTTATATTTTATTTGAAAAAACTATCCATTTTGATGTTTAAATAGAAAAAAATGAAAATATAATTTTTGGCCAATAGTTTTATTTCAAAATATTTTAAAGAATTTTAATATGATTTTTTCTTTAGTGTATTGTTGTGGAACGATGGCTAAATATATCCACATATAAGGATATTATTGTCATTGTGACTTTTGCCTATTTTCTTTTCTCCATATTTTTCTCTATCCATCCAAATACAAGAAGTGATAATATTATCTTTTTAGTTTTCTTTCCTCCCCATTTTCTCTCTTGTTTTCTTTCTTCCCAACTTTTCTTCCCATCTAAATGGAGCATTAAAGTTTAAAATTAACTTATCTTGTATATCTTTGAGTATTTTTGGATTTCAGTTGAGTAACATTGATTATGAAAAAAATTAATTTATATGATTGATTTTGATTTTAATCAATGATGTTATTATAATGTGAGTATGTTTGAATGTTATTCTTTGAAATTGATTTTGATAGAATTAAATATGTTTGAATAATCTAATCAAAATCAATTTTAGATATGTAAATTATCATAAAAGACATTACTTTTAAAAATGAAAATATTAATAAAGTTTAATATAATATTATTAAATATTAAATTTGATGAACTTTATTTAACAAATAAAATAAATTTTCCTATATCACGTAAAATAATAATAATAATAATAATAATAATAATAATAAGGTAAAATGGCAATTTGGATACTAAACTATGGGTTTAGGGGTGATTTTAACCCTGAACTCATATTTGAAACATTTTAATTCCTGAACAATTAAAGGCAGTCTCTCCCATTGTTAATTTGGAATTAAACGTTAGTCACTTTATGCATAGTGGGGCCGAGAAGATTGTGTTTCCCTCTCTCCCCCTTCTCCTCCTCTCTCGCACTTCACTTTTGCTACATGTAATGTCATAAAACTAATTCAAATAGATTATCATGTAATCAAAAACTACAGCAATAATTATGAGACTAATCCAAATAGATTATCATGTAATCAAAAGCAATTTAACTGCTGTAATTTAATATCATTGATAGTAGAAAAATTGAAACTAGAATCATAAAATAAACATGAAAACCAATAGTGTAACTCAATGAAAACCCAATTACTCCAAACTCAAGTTTATATGTAATAATGATAAACTCGGGATGCAAAGATTTATACTTAAATTACTTTAAAAATAAATAAATTATTAAAGACAAATACAAAAGCATGTGGTACCAATTGATACTTAAAAACAATTGAAAATGGGTTGAAAATATCAAGAAAACACAAAACAGAAGAGTGCATTGTTGCATGAGGAGTTGTCCATGACTTGTCCTCTCTATGCCACGTGCGTTGTAGTACATTGCACAGTAGATGATAGTGCTTACTATCAAATTGATAAATTTAGGGTGAACTTTTTGATGTACATCAAATACATCCGATTGAGACAATCTAAGTATCCATAAAAAAAATTCTTTTCATAAACTAACTAATAGCACTACTTTCACATCTAAATTATTTTATACTAAAAAGTTGGACACCCAAACACATTTAAACTACTTTTTCACATTAAAATGCAACGTAAATCCTAAATCCTAAACCCACACCAAAGTGACAAAAGCTCATTTTAACAAATAGACCACTTTTAATGAACCAAGGATAAATTGTGCAACACATCACAATAAACATATAACACTTACAACTCATTTTTAACTCTTAACTCCTTGATCTCAAAAAAAAAACAAGGGAGGTAGTTCTCATAATTTCTAAACATAATCCGTTACAATCCCAAAATAATCATAATCATACTTGTACTAGTATTTTGGAACTGAAATTTTCAGTGGAATATGCCCTTAAGGAGATGCCCACAAGTTACTAACCAAATTAGTCTGGGTCAAAGACCTGGGATGTCAAACTCACAAAAAAAAGACACCAGTAAAAAACACAAATAAGATATTTGTAACATAATCATGTATCACACAATATAATGTTTGCTTTCTAGTTGCATATGGAGTCAGCAATTTTCTCATTATGTATTTGACTAAATATCTCCAACAAACTAAAGTTGTGAACATTTTAATAAAAAAATGTCAGGTCCTAAGCAATCCCTTAAATTCTAGTCATCATTTCCATTTATAAATATTGCAGCAGCTTACATTTCAATATTTTTTTTGTCTCAACCACCAAATGAGTTAATCATGTGATTTTGCTGGCTTTTTATAAGTTGTTATGAATATTTTTTTTTTTGCCCAATAGGTTGTTATGAATAAATGTACGGTAACTTGATGAATTCAATTCTGGATTAACTTCAATGTTTAGCTAATTTTTAAATTAACTAGATAGAGTTAAAATATGAGTAACGTTATCTAGATTTATATCATCAATCATTTATATTAATATAATATTTAAATTAAATTTTTAAATAAATTATTTATAAGTCACTAACCATATGATTTTATTAATATTTGGGTAAGAAGAAAATTTATATATATTTATCCTTATATACTTAATGTACTTTAATCCTATTAAATTAAGACAATTGGACTTTAAATTGTTAATGATATTAATAACAAAAAATTTTATAGAATAAATAAGAAATAAAAGATACACATATCTTAATTTAATTAAAAAAAAGTGCCCTAAATATATAGTGTCAAGTATATAAGTATTTCTTTTTGTGTTAATATATAATCGTTCTGTTTATATGATAAGTCATTTTTTTTAAAGTATCATGTTTAAAAATATAATATATTATGAGTCTTTCAAGATGCAATTAATAAGATTTTTTTAAAAATACCTTTAATAGGAGTATAATTAATGAGATTTTTTAATTAAGACATCCTATTAAATAAGAGTAACTATGAAAAAATTGTGTAATTTTAAAGATAATCAACTAATTCATGAGAGTGTAATTCAAATAAAAGTAGGGAGAACTTTAATAGAGAACTAGTGATATGACATAATAATAAGTAAGACTCATTAAAATATAAAATTTAATTCAATTCAAGAGAACTGAAATGAAATTAATTTAAACGATGAAAGAACTAAAATAGCCTCTGTTTAAATATTAAAAAAATAGCGGTTAAATGTACATGTAATATTAGAAAATTAACAACTAAAATTGTTTCAAAAGGTACTAGTCCAATAAGTTTATTTCAACTCATGAAGCAATATTGGTTCTTAATTTTTCAATTTTACTTGTTAATTTTCCAACATCATTTGTAAGTTACTTTACTTGATGTAACAATCCTTCATTTTTTTTAATAATTTATTTCAACTTATGAAGAAATATCAGTTGTTAATATCATAACTTTACTTATTAATTTCCCAATATCACTTGTAAATTATTTTACTTTGCTTGTTAATCTTTTAAAAATGACAAGACTTGTTTAATTAGTTTATCCGAATTTTTGAAATAATTTCAGTTGTTAATTTCATATAAATCTTACTACTACTTTTTGATGTTTAAGCATAAATTTTTTTCAGTCTTTTCATTATTTAAATTAATTTCATTTCACTGCACTTAGATTAAATTGAAATTTCAGATTTTAATTAGTCTCATTTATTATTATATCACGTCTTTGGTTTTCTGTTGGAACTCTCCCTTGAAAATACCTTAAATTATATATATATATATATATATATATAACATTGTGAGTTGCGCTTGAACACCGTTGTTGCCATTCAATATCTTTTAAGATTATAGTTTGCAGATAAGCATGCCGTCAGTGTTGCAGCAGATATTGGCGAAAAATGAAGCTTGTAGTGCTTCACGGTGAGCATAATGCAGTTGAATATGCCCACTACCATTGCGGAGCTGAGAGCACCAAAGAGTAAAGACTGGAATGTATACGTGTAAATGCTTGGGTCTGAAGCAAGTTAGTGTTTACGCAGACACCAAAGAAGCCATTAATGGATCTGATTCATACAGGGGTAAGTAGTGAACAGTCACCCTTTTTAGGATCAAGTTTCTCAAGTAGATTGAACCATGTCATCCACTTGAAAGGGTAATAAATTGAATTGAAAGATTGAGAGAGGCCCAAGGAAAACAAAAAATAGAAACGAAGTACGTGAAATGAGCCCCCCTCAAAAGGGGATCTAGAGCTATCTTAAGGCAGATTAACCTGACTCTTGCTAACATCTCTTCCCACGCATGCGTTACCAAGGACAAGTCCATATTATACTGTATCCTGTAAAATCATATGCACACTGAACTTTTTTTTTTTTTTCTTTTTGAATGGAAAGGAGAGCTTATTAAAGGTCTGTTTGGTTCGAGAGAAGGAAAGGGGAGGTGAGGGGAGAGGAGGAAAGGGAGGGGGAGGAGGGGAGGGGAGGGAAAAATTTTTCCCTCCCTGCCTCCTAACCAAAGGAGGGGAGGGGCTCCCCTTCCCTCCCCTCCAAATGAGGGGTTAGGAGGAGGGGAGCCCCTCCCCACCCCTCCCCCCCCCTTCCCCAACCAAACAGGACCTAATTGTAGCATTGAATTGAAATGATCGGAAGAAGAGTGAGAGGGAGAGAGAATATGGGTTATTGAAATTTATTTATAATAAAAATAATTAATTATTTGGTCCTTATAATTTTATAACTTAATTCTTAAAATTTAACTTTTTATAATTTAGATTTTATAATTTTAACTCAGTTATAACTCACTTCTTAAATTTTGCCTCTTATAATTTAATTTTGTAGTTTTAACTACTTAAATATTAACATTTATATTTTAAAAAATAAAATTATAAAAATTTAAAATATTTTAAACTTTTAATAATTATAATATTTATAAGTATTAAATGAGTTTAGTAATTTAAAATATTAGTAATAAATTTTAACATATTTTTAATCTTTATAATTTTATTTTTTTAAAATATAAAAATAAATATTTAAGTAATTAAAATTATAGGAATTAAATTATAAAAAAATTTAGATTGAATTACAATTGAATTAAGATTTTAAAAATTTAACTATAATAAGTTAAAATTTAAAATTTAAATTGTAATTGAATTAAAAAATATAAGAATCAAACGTTTAATTTTTCGTTTATAATTATATTTATTCGTCTCTCTCTTCTTCCGACACTGCATCACAGCTCCATGTTCTTCTGACCAAGTACGTACATGTCAGTGGAATGATATTTCGCGTCTGTTCCTTCTGGGTTTTTCTGTCCTTTCATTGCATGCGAACTTACAAGTCCTTCTGTTATTTATTGGATTTTCTTTTTAAATTTCTTATTGGGATTTTAGGCTTGGAGGTGTGTTCTAATTTCTCAAACAAAAGGATTTCAAATTTTTGTTGGGATATACGCTGTACGTTTTTTATTTTTAGTTTTGAAAATACAAGTTGATTTTGAGCCTGTTTGTTTTTTGTGTTTAAAAATTACTTTTTATTTCTAAAAATAGAAAAATTTAACAACTTTTTTGATTGAATTGGTTTTTTTTTTTTTTTTGGTTTCTCTGACTCTATCTACATGTTTTGGCCAATACCTGCCTAGGAATTTTTTTTTGGTGGCCAAGCATGAATTAATTAACATTAATTAGGGCCTGTACAACCATCATACATTGTATTTAAATAACATATTACGATGTTAAATAATTTTTTTATAATTATATTCAGTGACGAATCGAAAAAAAATTATGACAGGAGGCAATATTTAAACTTAATAAAAACATTGATATTTTTGAAGAAAATATAATTTTAAATATTGATTAAGGTAGTATATAAATAAATTATATGAAAAGTTCAATAATATATACTCCTTCCATTAAAAAATGTACGGTATTTTTAATTTTTCAAGGTGTAATCATTGCTTTTTTTTCAAAAGTGCCCCTATTGATAATGACTTTATATTTATTATAGGGTATTTAATATGAGTAAATATGAAAGAATGAGTTAATTAGAAAGTAGTTAACTACTTTATTAAGGGGTGAGATTCGATTAAAAATACCGTATATTTTTTAATAAAGAGAGTATTAATTTCATTTGTATCATAAATTTATTTTTATAATAAATATAAGAGTAAACGATATTTTTAAATATGTATACTTGTTAATTTTAAAGAGAGAGTGAGGTAATTGATTTTTTAAGGTGGGTAATTGTAATTTTAAAGGGAGTCAAGTATAATTTTAACTAAAAATCAAGTGCAAATTTTGCTTCATCTTGTTTTTTTTTTTGCCCCCTTGGGTACACCCCTTATTATATTTGACGTAAAACCTAAATGTGGTTAAAAATTAAATTTAGGTAATTGATATGTATTCCCTACATTAAAAAATATAAGACATTTTTTGAAAAGTTTGATATTTAAAAATGTAAGGTATTTTTAATCTTTCGAGGTGTAATCATTATCTTTTTTTTCTAAAAGTGTCCCTATTAATAATAATTTTATATTTATTATAAAATATTTAATAAAAATAAATATAGAAAGATAGTATTAGTTTTAAAGCAGGTAGCTACTTTATTGAAGGTGAGATTTAGTCAAAAATACCTTATATTTTTAAATAGGAGAAGTGTGTGTATATATATATATATATATGAGAGGTTAAGTGCCTAAATTTTATCATAAAAACATAGACGACCAAAATACGTAATCCAAATATATGGATACATCAATATAACTTAGAAAGTGAGCGAGTCAAGCCATTGATGGTGGCCCGGCTCCTCTTACAAAGTTACTGTTCACTAAGCTCATTCCTCCAAATTTAGCAACCAGCATATACCTCTCTCGTACGTTGCACGGGAGCATTTCTTCACATGTGATATTTTAAAGTATTATATTTAATTTTTTTTTTAGAGATGTTTTACATTATGTAATAAAGAAAACATGAATTTTATGAATTTTATTTGACGTAATAAGAAAAATTATAGTGGTGTGATAAATTTGATGACTATTTGAAATGCACCAAGTTGATTATTTATTAAATTGATGTAAAAGTAAAAATTGTTTGTACGAGTGGAAGGAAAATAATTAACCTTGTTTATTCATCCCTCTCTTGATAATGTAATCAATAAGTTAGTCTTTCATGGGAGATTTCTAACAACAAATTTTGAGATCAAGTTTAACGACCCCCTTCCTCGCCCCCATCCTCCAAAAGAAAATGAAGAATTTGTTGCATGTCACTCAAGAAGACAACAATTTTTTTTTAAAAAAAAAAGATAAAACAACAAAATCATGGCACTCAAGAAGACAATACTAATCACATAAAGTCTTCTAATAGGTCCTAAATCTCATTGAGTCTAAGAAATATTGGATGAGCTAAGACTCAATAAGTTATATAATATAACTCCTTAAATAAGTTGCAATACTTCAGAAGCATCCATTTCATGAACAAATCTTCTTGGCGCCAAGATCATTTGTAATAACCTAGAAAGTAATTATAATGATAAAATGGCATTAAAATAAAATTTATTATACTTTTATCATTTGTTGGAAAACATTTAACAAGGTATGTTGGTGGCCTTGTGGTATTCTTGTTGGCTCGCGTTCGATTGATCGTGTGTTTCCCCTTGGAACCAAAGGAGGAATTTTAAATTTTTGCTGTAACTAAATTTACCATTTTGTCCCTCTGGTTGCATCAGAAAATATAGAGCTCACGCGTGTCATTTTTCCTCATTCCTTCTTCGATCTCTCCAGAACTCACCGAGAGAGAGAGGGTTCTCATCGTCTCGCCACCCTCTGTCATTTCCTTCGTCGTTCTCCGTCATCACGGCATCGCCAGCGAAGGCCTCAGATCCGCTCCAATGTTGGTGCGAGCAAAAACTTCGGCCATCACCATTGAGCTTCCTCTCTCTCTATTCGGCCACTGAGATTCTCTAATCTTTCCGAGCAACAAGACGATTCAGGTGCGTCGCTGTTTTGGTGTGGCTATGGGAGTGTGTAGACATTTTTCCCCTCCTTCTTAAGCTCACAGCGGCTTCTAGTTTCTCTGCTCCATCACTCCTTCTCGTCTGTTCAAGCAGCTACAGGGGTGCGTGAAAATCTTCCACTCCCCTGCGTTGCGTCGCCGTCATTCACTGCTGTGGGAGCCTCACCGAACACCCAGCTTCTTCCTTCAGTGACTCATGTGGTCACTATTATTCTCCCACGTGTTGTTGTTGCTGATCTAGCTTGAGGGAGGGATCTGAAATTTTCTCCCTGTTTCGTTATACTGCTTAAAGGTGATGAGCTTCTAACTCCCTCCTCCTTGTTGGTCCTGTTGCTGTGCGTGCGTGTTTAAATTTCAAATTTTTTTTTTATTTCCTCTTACTTTGCTACTGTGTATGTTCAAACAGAGGAGAAGAGGTTTTGGCAAACTAGAAAGTTTCAGATTTTTAGAGCTAGATGTAGTGTGAAATTGAATATCATTTGAGCTTATTTCTAATTCAGTTGAAAGAATGAAATTTAGGAACATTTGTTTATCTAAATATTGATATTTATAATTTTTGGGACAGGGTATTGAGGAAAAAGAGGCTTGGTATTTGTTTGAATATAGATACATATGAGATGTTTGATGAAATGCTTGAAAGGAAGTTAAAATTAGGAATAGAGATTTTGAAAAGAAATGAATTTGTTATTATGATTTAAGCGGTGGTGCCTCTAAGATGTTTTGAAAAGGTGTCAGATAAAATGAGTTTTGTTTGGTTATGAACTTCTTGAAGTTTCATTAACTTTTATAAGGACATATATAGTTTAGGTATTAGTTATCCATAGATTTAACTTGAGTTTTGTGAAGAATTTTTTTTATTGTAAAGCTACTGTGAGACAAATTGAATTTTGAAAAATTGTATGGTTGATGATTATAAATGATAATGTTATTTGAAGACTTGATTTTGAGAATACACCTCAATAAAAATGGGTGGTAGAAGAGCTTTGAAATTTTAACGTGATTAAGGATAAGTAGGAATTAAGGCATAAATCGTATTTAGTTGAAAACTTAAGTGATCACGGTGTTGTTGCTAGTGTAAAATAGTTTATTAAACTTGAGTAAAGATCATTAAATTATCTTCTACATTGAATAGGTTGCTTAGAAGAAGGAAGATTTAACTCTAAAGCATGAATTTGCACTTGAGAACACTACAGGTAAGTGAATAACGTCTCAATTAATTTATAAATTAAAAAATTTTCTTTATAAAAATATTGACTTAACAATTTATAAATATTATTTATTTCTCTTGCATTAGCTCCTTTTTATTAATTAAATTGTTTTATCCTTGGAGTCATGACTTATGCTTTTTGGATTGACAGAAATACTTTTACAAATTTTGGTAGTCTATTATTTAATAAAGTCAACTATGAAAATTAGTAAACAATTTATGAAATATTAATTATGAATTTTCATATTTAGAAAGATTGATGTTTTACATGTTTCATGCGAGTTTGATATTGAAAAGAGAAATTATACTTTACAAGTGACGATTTTCTCACATGTTTGAACGTGAATTTAAAAAGGGACTCTATATAAAACACTGGTTGCTAACAGCAATTTCATTAGCTCTTAGTGTGCCATAGTTCATTTAACTAGTAGGGTGCTTATAAGAGGTACTAGCCTTGTGTGATAGCCAACACATGTGGAACAGAGGGATGATTATTCATGAGTATCGTACTCATGTTTGTTTCGTGGTTTCAGCTGCGTTTGGTTATTTATCATCGTGAACTGTGTGTCCACATTTATCTTCGTAGCATGAGCTGTGTTTAGTTATATACCCTCATGAACTGTGTGTTCATGTTTGCTAATTGTTCTGATAAGTCACTATGATGAAAAATTTGATAATTTAGTGATTTTCCATCTCATTGGTTTTTTATTTAGTAATTTATGTAAAATAATTTATTTTGTTTATTTACTTTTTTAAAATCACGTGACACTAATATTTGATCTAATACTTTAACAGTTCAAAATTCTATTTAAAGTTATATAAAGCCATTTTATTTTGAAGTTTATTCAATTTTTATGAGAATTGTTATCTCTAACTTATAGAATTGTTTCAAACTTTTCTTTTATTCATGTTCAATTGTTTATTGTTGGGACGTTATTTATTGAAAATATTTTTGATCTTTGATAGCATAGCTGATAATCTACTGTAGGTTAATCTCTGAGGGGCTTGTTGTTGAATTGATGAGGAAATCTTTTGAGGAAACCTTCCTTTTGATGTAAATGTTTAATTATGCAATATACTTTAAAAAAATTATGATTAGGTGCTCCACATTAACTATAAATAGAATTTTGATAAGTCATTTATTTGTCTATTGTGGAGAAGTAAAACTCCGTATTTTTGAGTTGGATTGTATCTTGGTGTTGTAAAGATTTTGGTAAGTCCTATTTATAGTTAAGGTTCTCTTAGAAATTTTTTTTTAGTAAAAAAAATTTAATAATCTTTTATTTATATAAAAATATTATAACAACTTTCCATCTTATTTTTAACTGAACTAAAATATTAAAGTGTTTTTAATCAAGGCTGATGGGATGTATTTTTGTGCATATATCCTATGTTGGTCATGTCTAATTTTTAGGGAGTGACATCATTGGACAGTAATAAGTAAAGTGCCATGATAAAAGTGTATAATGTAACATTCTAGACCTTAATTCCCAATGTAACACAATTAATATTACTTCGACAAATTATGAAAAAGATAAATCAACAAAATATAATGTGTTAGAATCGTATTTTGTACAGTACTCCCAAATATTGGCTTGAGTCTTTGCCAAATGCAAATGAAATAGATTGAAATCATGCATAATGCCATCAGCTTTGACACTAAAATGATGAAAATCATTTTACTTAGATAAAGTAAGAAGATAAAGAGACGAGAAGATGAAAACGTGTCTTTGCGACACCCACACAAAAGTTGGAATAAGTAGTAGGATAATAACAAGAAGAAGAAGAAGTAGGATAATAATTCTCTCTCTTCCTCACTCTCTTTATTTTACCTATTTCAGGTAATCCATTTAAAAAGTAAATATGTCTGAATTCTTAGCTTTGCTACACAACTTGCATCATTTTACTGTACAAATCTAGACCATTTTTAATTACAAAAACCGGTGAAAGAATATTTTCTGTATCATCAATTGCAGATAAATTCCAATAATAATTATAAAACTAGCTGTGAAGGAATTTTGCTGAAATTCATAAGAGAAATTGACTTTGGTTTTTCTGGTATCACTGCATAAGATAAAAAATGATTTAAGAAACTATATATAAAATTGTGTTAGAACAAATAATTTATGTCAAATTATACTGATTTCAAAGGAGTTTAAGATTATACCATCCAGTGTGCAAAATCAATCTGCGACCCTTTGTGTAGCTTGAGAATATTGACAAAAAATAAACCCGTACGTTTTTTATTACTTATCAATGTAGAGACTCATTCTAAAAAGGGGATGGTGCCTCTCTTTGCCTTTTATGCAATAGGCATCTTCTTACAAGTCTTATTATCCCTTTTAAACACCTTATTTGTTCAACATGCAGGATGGTCCAGGTCCATTTTTGTATAACAGGATACATTAATGCACTGGTGGTGTGCCATCTATATTACATGCACCTCGTGACATGTAAATAGTCTATGGTTGAGATACTACATAGAGGAAACGCCACAGAAAAAATCATGGATATTTGACCCCAAAAAAAAAAAAAAGCTGATAAGCATGCATGGTCAATTGGTCATTTTGAAATAGATTACTTCTAAAAACAAAGAAATAATGACTTTAACACATAATTTTTTGTTGATTTATCTTTTTTTCATAACTTGTCGGAATTGGTTGTATTGCATTGGGAATTAAAGTTTAGAATGTTACATTATACAATTTTTTTCATGGCACTCTAATTATTGTCTAATGATCTTGCCACTAAGAAGGTTTGTTCATGAAATGGATGCTTCTGAAGTATTGTAACTTATTCAAGGGGTTATATAACTTTATCTCATCCAATATTTCTTGGATTCAATGAGATTTAGGACCTATTAGAAGACTTTATTTGACTAGTATTGTCTTCTTGAGTGCCATGATTTTGTTGTTGTATTTTTTTAAAGTTTTGATTTCTTCTTGAGTGACATGCAACAAATTCTTCTTTATTTTCTTTTGGAGGATGGGGGGAGGAGGGGGTGGTTAAACTTGATCCCAAAATTCACTTTGTTAGAAATCTACCATGAAAGACTAACTTATTGATTAGATTATCAAGAAAGGAATGAATAAACATGATTAATAATTTTCTTACTTCCACATGTACAAACAATTTTTACTTTTACATCAATTTAATAAATAATCAACTTTGTGCATTTCAAACAGTCATCTAATTTATCACATCACTATAATTTTTCTTATTACATCAAATGGAATTCATACTATTCTTGTTCTCTTATTATACAATGTAAAACATTTCTTAAAAAAAATTAAACATAATACTTTAAAATATGATATGCAAAGAAATGCTCTCATGCAACGCACAGGAAAGTAAACACTTGTTTGCAGCAATTGCTCGTATTGTGGGACATTTATCCAAGAGTGCTAAGGTTATGAAGCTTGTCAACAACCTCATGAACAATCTGGCACAGCTATACTTGTGATTAACAATATGGGTACGTTTCGAAAGTTTGTTACCTACAATGGAAATACTTGTGCCAACTTTCGTTTAGCTTGGAAGCAAATGGTTTAGGCAACGTAATCGTAATACGTCCTGAAATGCTAATAGTAGACAACCAGATCCAGACATGTTCAGAAGGCCCATCTTAACTCTATAATCTAAATATACATTATTATGTGACTAATTTCAAGTTTGACAGCCTCCTTGAGTGGGAGCT